CAAGCCCCATGAAATGCATAACCACCTTCTTGTCTGGAATAGAAAATTTCCTAATACCTCTGTGTCATTAAAATACAGGATTTATATCCAACATAAATTTGGCTGTGTGGTCGTCACTACTCCAATTTCCTCTCAGATTTTACAGCAACTTTTTAGATCTAGTGTTCCTTCACACCTTTATGACCTAGCACACCTATTCGGTATACCTTGATGGCAGATATTGCAGTATCTTACTGATTTTCATCACTCCCCCCAGCAGCTTTCAATCAGACCAGCTATGCCAAGGTCTTTTTACACCGCTGAGCAGTCTACAACAACTATTTTTGTTTCATGTTTCCATACTGGTATACAGGCATTTTTCTTGTTTGGACCACATGCCCGTTTCTTATCCCAATCTACAGCCCCACAGCTGGTTGCTCCTCCCACGTACACAACTCTGCTCTCAACCTCCTCAGATCCTGTGCTGAAAAGTCGCCCCTTGCCCTCCAGGAGAAACAGGCACAGGTTTTTGCTCCCAACACTCCCATTCAGTGCCTTCGCCCAAGCCCTGACAGCCTCAGCCTTCTACCAGCACTGCGTTCAGTCCATCCATCCAAAACCCTGTCCACTTTCTGTGCCATCAGTCTAGGGACACTTTGGCTGAAGTGGAAACCAGCCCATGCTGCGAAATCATGACTCCTAACTTCACCTACTTATCATACCCTTTCTACCATTTTCCCAGGCTCGCATTAAGACTTCAGGAAGAGGGACCGCGATGTCCTAAATTCTGTCTTCTTCCCAGGCACGCAAATTTAGCTTCCCAAGTATCTCAGCTTCAAGGATAATAGCCTCAGGCTTGCCCCAAGCACTCTGGTATCTTCCAGGATCTACTTCTCCACTCAACAGGCAACTCGTCAGATGGATCTCCTAAGCATCGGGAGCAAAGCCTGTGATTTCCCATGATCAAATCCTCTGCCATCCAAACCTCCCAGAGCTACTTCCCCAGCTTCTGGAGGCATCTCCAGCATAGAGAACAACCCCTCAACCAAGGCTTTAGTATTAAATTATAAATCGCCCCTTTAATCCTATCCAGTTGCAAGTCAAGTTTCCACAAATAAAAGGCAAGGCAGCCAGTGCTGAGGCGAGGATAGACCATGACCATCTGCACATGATTTGATGCCATCTCTTCTCCACCAGCTCAGCAACTTTGGCCTCAAGACATTTTCTGGAGCTTGGAGTGCCTCCACTTGTTGCACTGTATAGTATTTTATCAGAAGATAATAACTTGTAAAGTGTGTCCTCTCTGCACTCGTGTGTGCAGTTCCTAGTGCAATTAAGCCAATGTTCTTCAATTCCCATAATTAAGCTAGGATTTTTACTTTATGACCATATAAGTCCATCTTTAAACTAAAAATAGACTGACTGTTAATGGATTCTTCTTTTAATTACTTTAAACCACCAATTAGAGACTTTCATTGGACAAGATAAGTTACATATGGCCTTGCAGAAGCCTGCAAGGATTCATTTACCAGGACTTTTATTGACAGTTGCAGCTCAGAACCCAACTTTTTTTTTTTTTAAAGATCAAATGAGCCTCTGAACACAGCACTGTCAAAAGACCTATCCACAAACCAAACTGTTTGCATGCATGAAAGCAGAGATGACAATTACATGAATTTGCAGTGCTTAGTTCAGAATTATTAATGCCAGAAAATAATTCAAAGCCTCTAGTCCCTATTTTGCTCAGAGACCTGCCTGGTTGCCCTTCAGCAGCCCCTCGCAACAGTGATCCTACCATCATTTATTATTTAAATAAAATAATCTCTTTAATAAAAAGAAATTTTGACCCCATTTATAACTCTGTACCTGACAAGACACTGGCTTCTTTTCTTCACTTCTGGTGCTGCTCAAACAACATTTTTCTTAAGTTGACCTGCCCACACAGCTCCTGATAAGCCAATGCTACATTGCCAGCTCTCCTCAGCATCACTTGAGTGGGAGGTTTAAATACCAGATTTCACAAAATCCTTTATCCATGCTTCCTAGCCCCGGCATTTCTTGAAGTATTGACAGATCAGCAAGCCTTCACAGTTTGCCTAGAAGTGAGACAGCTGGACGTGCTTCTGCTGGACTGGCACAGAAGAGCTGGCCCTTGAAGACCCAGCACCCACCTCTTGACCCCCAGGTGAGTCTTGAGGAGTCTGGACCAGCTGACGCCGGCATGCTGATCCATGCTCCCAAGGAGCTGCTGCTTTGAGCTCCTCTGCCCATACTAAATGCCCGAGCAAAAGGCAAGCCCAGGAAAAGCAAGTTCCAAACCTCAGGAGACTACAGGCAATAAAGCCAGCAGCTTGCACTGGACTCACAAACTATTGTGCAACCAGGACAGAACACAGAGAAATAAAACTTGTTCGCTAGTGAGACACTACAGCAAGCCCAACCAGGGGGAGAGAAAGGCACTCAAACCAATGTGGCTAACCTTCAAATGACAGCACTGCTCTGAGATGTCCTATCCAGACAGGTCCTGCCCAAGATGCACAAACACTGTCCTGCACGCTGGCACGTGACAGCATGCCTTTCTACCCTGAGTTAGAAGAACAAAACCCACCCCGCTCTTTGACCAGGGCTAACATACCAGCTGGAGGGCAGAGCAGATATGAGGAGCACCTGGTGCTTTGAGCTCAAGTTGCACATCAAGACATTCACCAACAACGGAAAAAAACGCCACCGCTTATTTTCTCCACCCTCAACTGCCAGGAATATAAATTACCCAGGCATGTACCTTATAGAGACTTAGCCTCCTCCAGCTGCCGTATGAAGCCTGCAGCTTCATCTCAGCACTGGCCACAACAGCACAGCTGATGACACAGAGGAGCTGAAAACACGCTGGAGCAGCAGAGACCCTGCAGCTCACATGTCCTCACATGCCAGCCCCGAAGCCCCCTGTGCCTGTGCTGGCCCACCTTACAGCACCTGCACATCGGTCCAGTGGGATGATGAGATGTCTCTGAGATCCCAGGCTCAGCTCCCAGACCTTCCCACAAGCATGACAGTGCCACCTCACAGTCAAAACCACTGATGTGCATCAGCGAGAACACGATCTCTTGCACCAAGACAGTCACCCATGGGGGCTGCTGCATGGTCTCTGCACCATGTCCAGCACAAAATCCAGACCCGCTGGGGTCAACATGGTCATGGGGATTCAGATGCTGTTTGCAAACCACCTTTACGAGCAGCTCTCCGTAGAAATCAACATGCTGACCAGGATGACATTGCAATGTGTAGAGGTTTTTCCCTGAAAAGCTGTCTGAATCTCTCCAAGGCATGCACTTGGGCTTCCCGGCAGCACGCAGTAGATCAGCTCCCACAACAGCCGCCTCCCTCCAAGGTCTCACTAGTCAAGAGGGGCACATCCTTCCGTGCTGCAGATGTAACTCCACACCCCTCACCTCTCTGATCTGCGACAGAAAGAATGAAGCTTTTCTTTGCTTCCCGCATATTTCAAGATAGTGTTTCAAGAAAAAAACCCTTCTGCGCCACAGCCAGGAAGGCTCAGCACAAACTCCCTCTGTCAGCGTTGCAGCTAGTCCTCTTTTCACTTCAGCCTCCTACGTGGCCTAAGCCTAAGAAAAGGCTAAGGTGTGTATTTTTGCAAAGCTAACGTCAGGATGGACAGCAAACCAACTGATGACCAGCAAAGCCAAAGAATTATCTGAATTAAGACCGAGTTATGTGCTGGGGAGATCCAGAAGATGCCCATTCAAAGCAAGCGCTCTCCCAGCTGATGGCTGATCCAGAAAGGAGCAGAAGTACACCGCGTGTCGTGAACCTGAGCCTCAAGACAACGAGGTGCAAAAATGGCCAACCATCTACACAGGCAGTCTCCTGTTTTATCTAGGGCTACGTCTACACGAGCAATCATTACAGACAGAGCCAAGTTCGACAGCAAAGGAGTCACTGCTCAGGACCCAACGGTCACGTTATCCGTGTTTCAGGGATTTTACTCCCCCATGAGCTTTAGCTTGGTCTGACGGCCCTAATGCCAACCAGTTGGTAGAACTCATCTTTTGGCTCAGTTAAACCCCAAACGAATCAGGTCATGTGCTCTGAGACTGCTCCACAATAAAACCAAGGTATGTTATGCAGGGACAGCAGAGCACTTCGCTGCAGAAGTGTACACCCGATCCGAGCTGCAAAGCTACCGCAGACACTGCCATGGCCCCGGGGATGTCCGGCGCGGGGTCCTGGTCACCCAAAATGAGACAATACCCACACGTAGGCAAAACCTACAGCCAGCCTGAGCAGGGCTCCATCTTGGCTGGACATGCTGCCTTCCAGAGCAAAAGGCTCAGGACCAGATCCCCTCTCCAGGCGAAGGAGCACCAGCGGTATCGATCCCCAGAGGGACAGTGAAGCATTGTTCGGGGATATTCAGCCATTCGCTCTGTCTTGTTTTAATCAGTCAACACTCAAAAGAGAGACAGCGGGGCCAGAAGTCCTCTATCTTTATCTTTTCTCACTTAATCTCCAGCTGACATTTTTCCCTGAAAACATGCTTCATTCCTCGCTGTATGAATTAAACTCTCCCTCTTCTGTGACATTTTGCCTCAAACAGGCTACACAACTGTTTACTACTTGCACAGAGGCAGGCGTAACATGCTCTGACCCTCCCAAAACCCATGACTGCACGTCTGGCCTCAGCCACGTACAGACACCAAATTGTAGAGATGGGACCAGCAGAGCTACCCCAGCTGGGGAGTTCAGTCCCACGCACCCGCCACTCCGTGCTCCCCTGGGATCAGCTGCCCGACACCCCTGAGTTGTCTGCAGCAAACGGTCTGCCAGAGATGCTGTCATCTGGCTCTTGGGTGCTTCTCCACAAGTGGCATCACCTACCCTCCATCCTGAACACCAGTTCAGGTGCTGAAGCACTCGAATGGTGGCCAAGGCGCAACTCGGCCGTCCACCTCTGCCAGCCCACCCCTCCCGCCTTGCTCTGAAAGGCTTTTCCCACCCTCCAGATGGACAACATCTCCTCTGCTGTGACTGCTGGGAGCTTCTCCCCCAGGACAAACTCTTTTCACCCGGCCTGGTACCTGCCCGAGTCCACCGGCTCAGGAAACGTCTTCATTAGCGACAACGGCACCATACCTCCCTGCAGGAGCGCAGGTCCGAACGCAAACCTGCTCGTCCTTTCCCTTCCAGTGTACTTCTCCAGCAGCAACTTTTACGCCATCCAAATTGCAATAAAATATCCAGTATAACGTTGCAGAAGTAACTGTGAACCCCTAAAAATGGATGATTTGGCATTTACTTCTCTCTGCTATCTACAGCTGGTCAGACCTGCATTAATGACAAGCAATGCACGGCCCAGTAAAGCCTTGTAGCCTACTTGTATTCTGCAAGAAGTGGGATGCGTTGCAGACCCCTGTGTAGGCTGACTTTCCCCCACACTGTAGTGCGGCTAAAACACAGTCCCATCGGGAACCGAAATGCTTTGAAAAGGTAGAAGGTAAAAAAGAAGGACAGGAGGCTAAGAGAAACTCCCAGAGCAGACCCAAGACTGCCTAGCACGAATGGGAGGCAGCATCGCTGATGGGAGCAGAGCAGGCAGCCCGGCTCTGGCAGAGGAACTTCTGCTGCCACCAGAAAGGAGCATCCTTCCTATGCCATCAGACCATCACCCTCAGTAATTTCAACACGAGAGATCCCACTTAAGAGGAAAAAAAAAAAAGCCATGAACTTCAGGCCAAAGATTACGCTCTGGTTAAAACAGGCTTTTAGAAAAGGTTATCATTTTGAAAGTCCATTTAGATTAACCTTAACTAGCTTTAAACTATATATACGTACCTCCTTGCCACGCTCGCAACCCACGCACAACATTTTGCGGTGCCAGCGAGCTAAATCATGTGCAAGTGAGCGGAGTAAAAGGAACCACAGGCTTGAAAAAAAGCTCTGGGCTGAAATTATCTTTCATTGTTGCAAGTGGCACAGGAGATGGCAACAGCAGAAGGAATCAAGAATAAAAATGGAACTTGCTTGTTTACCTTGTCGGTTTTGTCAAAACATTTTGACAACACTTTGCATGCAGCCCGCATCTCTGTTCTGCTACCAAAAACTCAGATCCTTTCACCTATCTGCACGCATTATAGAAGAAAGCCAAGAAGAGTAAAACTTTTAGGGAGAGAAGTGCATGTGCAAAAAGTACAAAGCCCAGCACGAGAACTTAAAACTACGGTGTACTCTTCTTCCACATAGTCCCAACACCGACACGAACAGTGACCCTTCAATTACACAAGCTGAGTTAACAAGGAGCAGGCAGCCAGCAGAGGAGGATAGTAAGAAAATAAAAGGAAAGTTTGGGCAAGCCTGACGAAAATCAAAGACAAAAAAAAAAAGAAAGGAAAAAAAAAAAGAAAAAAGAAAAAAAAAGGTGCAAACGTGGATTTTAAATTTGTGATCAAAAAATAAAATCTTCTTGACGGTGTCATTTTAACAGAGAAACTCTCCAGCACTTTAGGCAGAGCCCTACCTCTCAAAAAGCAATCCAAGCCAGTAAGAGCAGCAGGTTTTTGAATGAGCAAATTGCACAGCCGTGGAAGCATTTGCTTTCACTGCCTTCTTTCCAACTCACCTAAGAGAGACTTGTTTTCTACCCTTTGGACTAGCAAAACCCAGGAAATTGGTTGGTTCTAGTTATACTTTGAGTTTTCATGTTTCATGAGAGTCCCCGAAATGTAAACCTGTTTTAGCATTCTTGTACATTAATGTCAGGATTCTCCACTTCTAGCTCCCACAACTTCTGCCACAGACAAGTCAATCAGATTTGGTATATGCCCTGGAAAGGGAAATAGGAGGTCTGGGTTTAAAGCAGACAAGCAAACAAAAAATAATTATGTCAGTACTCTGCAAGGTGTTGGATCCAAACTTGGTGGATCTGCTGAAGTCTTCAATCCAAAACACTCGGTAATTTTACTTAAACAAAATTAAAAAAAAACACACCTTAACCTGTTGAACTTAGAGAAAAGAAGAAAGTGGCAGACCTTTGAGGAAGGGAGACAAAGTGTGTGGGTGCAAAAACATAAAGTGCCGTAGTTCACCACCTTAGAAGGTATCAGAGTTTTGCTTTGTTTGGTTTTGTTTTTCTTAAGTGCCAGGGAAGCGTGATTCCCAAAGGGCGGCTTTAGAGTTTACGGGCACCAAGGTGGAAGCGTGAAGTGAAGACATGCCAAAAACATCAGGTTTTCATAAACCCTTCTTGAAAAAGTGCACCGTGTTTTTAGTAAAAATGCATATCTACCAAATCTCCACTGACCACGGGCCACTTGCGTACGCATCAATTTGCGGCATCAATGCTGACATTTTTGCCTTCTCCTTCCACCCACCTCCCCAATTTTTTTTCCTTGGGAGACATACAGCGCCACTGCATTAGAACGTACAAGAAATGAAAACAGTGAGTACGACTGATATAGATCCATTGACTTTTTATTACAAATGTACTTGATCACTTGGCTTCAAAAAAGTTTAAATCAACCCCTATTTTCTGTACGCCAGTACAAAGTAAAATCTATTTTACAAATTAAATACCTAAAAATTTGACAAAAATATTAAAGTTTGATGGAAAAAACAGTTATAAAAATCTTAAATCCCCTTTTAAGAAGGTAAGAGATAACATCCCCTCCCAACCCCCACAGTCCTGTTATACAATATTAATAGTCATTTTTTTAGAATAGGTAGGTATGTTATATCTTGCTGTTAGCATACAAGTCACTCTAATAGCTTTATCTGTATATACTCCAGTTAGTGCATGAATGCCATCTGATTGAATATAATCAACTATCTTTAACTGATCCCTAATTTACATTTCATAGCTTGCATAGTTTGAAGGGACAAAGATTATACTACAGCTAATCGTAAAAAAAGGTGGTTACAGTGCTATTTTTAAAGGCAACAAAGTAATTGCTCCCCCCAAAAAAAGAAGTTATCGGTCGGCTCTGAGCAGGGGTTAAAATCACCGGCAGCTTTCTGCCTCGCTCCACGGACCGTCTCTGCCTCGCACCCGCTGCCCGCACCGGGCAGCCCCCTGCGCTTTACAACAGTCAAGTTACAGGTTGCGAACCGCTCCTCAGCGAGCGCTACACCGAGCACATTTCAACCCCTGCAAGGGATACGCAAGAAAGTGACACTGTCGAGTAGTTTTTTTGGTTTCGTGTTGTTTTTTTTTTTTTTTCTTTTTCCTTTTTTTTAAAATTGAATTTTCCAAAAAAGCTCTCCACCGCATACGGGTACGCCTCGCTGGAAGCTCAGCGTCCTGCCCGCACCCCAGAGCTGAGGCTGTGCCCACCGGCACGGCTGCCCCGCGGCTCCTGCCCGGCGAAGCCCTGACCCTTGCCGCCACCACCGGCCTCGGAGCCAAGGCCAGGTCTGGTCCGGCCAGTCCCCTCCTGCTCCCGGGCAGCGGGAGGGCTGCCCCTCGCAGCGCACCGCAAGCGGGACCACGAAAAAGAGGCAGGAATCAACGGCGGCTCGTTCTGGTTCTGTTTTTTTTTCTTTTTTATTTAACTTCTCAGCCACAGAGCAATTTTACTTTTTTTTTTAAAAAAAAAAAAAAAAAAAAACAAAAAAAAATAGTAATAAGGACTTTGAATTTGGAGGACGTTTCTCCGTTAGCATAAAACCACTTAAAGGGTGGTTGTGTTTCAATGGTAAATTACTTGACAGTGTCCCTTTAACTTAAAAATGAAATAATGTCAGTATTGCAATGCATTTCAAGTTTTCTTGCACGTAGTCATTATAAAGTAGTTTTTATCATGCTCTTGGACCTATTCTACAAGACATTTAAAAGCATATCATCAAGGAAAATATAAGGCATACTTCTCAGGAATTAGATAGCTTGGCACATTTGAGCATACTGTCTTTTTTTAAAACAACACATATGGTCAAATATACCTTTCTTCTTCTAACATTAAACAGGGTTTTCTGTACTTTGTTTTAAATACTGAGATATCAGAGCCTTGGTAAAGTACCGAGCACCTCCGGGAAAAAAAAAAAAAAGAGCAAAAAAATAAATCAAAACATAAACAAAACCAGAAGCGAAATCCCACGAACCTTTACAGTCATTTTTGTCTTTCATTACCATCATTCATCAAGTCCTAGAACATGCATAACGTGCGTTAAAAGAAGAAAAAAAAAACACCCAAAAAACAACGAAACAACGCAGAGAAGAAACCCAAAACCAGACAAAAACTGACCACGAGTTCTCGGACACTGTTCACAAAACTGCCAGTGGGCTGTTACAGGCTGTACTGGTTTGACCGGAACCACGCGGCCCGTGCGCTTCGCGGGTCAGCCGGATCCCGGGCAGGATCCGGGCGGCGCGGGTGAGGAAGACCGCGGGGAGCAGCCTGCCTCGTTAGCGATGCTCCCAGGAGCCGGGAGGGTACGGAGGGCCACTCCGCCGTGCTCTCATCGCCTCCCGCTACTTATTGCTGGGAACACGACGCAGCAGCGTGGAACTACGAGCGCCGGACCACATCCGTCGGCAGCGCGACAACTTTTGGGAGGGGAGTGAACAGCAGGACCGAGACAATCAATCAAGTAGCAAAACCAAAGCAATTAATTTCCTAACTACATCTAGCAGCATGGAGAATGCAGTCCCGCACACATCACAGTTGAAGTACAATAATCGATGGAACTGCCCATCCAGACCCTCCAATTCAAAAGCAGGTTATCAGACAAATGTTTACATGCAATTGAGAACCATTTCAAATGTCACATTACGCACTCCGAAAGCTTATTTTACTACTGGGAAATAGGAAAGTGCACATTAAAGCAATTTTAAACATTTCCAGTGATTGCTTAAAAGAAACAGAAACACCTCACTACCGGCATCTCGTATTTAACTTTCTGTGAACACTAACAGCAAACTTCTTCAAAGGGAAAGAATGCATGGTACAATGGAAACAGCTTGTTTTGACACTTACAGTACATCTCAAAAAAAAAGGGAATTATAATTTCAAATGGGAATAAAAAGACAACGGGAAATAAAATTCTTTAAAACAAGCTTTTTTTTTTTTTTCCCCACCCTTCCGAAACTCCATCCTCGACCATCAGTAAAGAAGCGCAGGCAGCTCCTGCTCGCACAGGTGGTGCCTTCTACGCGCAGCAGCTAGGTCTACCAGACGGCTAACTTTGCCAAAAGCATTAAGAAAAATGATTGCATCCCAAAAAAACTTCCGAGTGGAACAAGATCCTAGTTTCTCTGAAATGCTGTCTACTGAATTCCGGCCAAGAAAAGAAAAGAAAAGAAAAGTTTTGTTTTCACTGTTTAAGGCATCTTTTTTTTTTTTATAACGTTTTCTCTTCACTCATAACGATGATAGTCATGCAGCAGTTTAATGATAAAAATATATTAATATTTTACTATACAGCAGCAAGAAGTTAGTCAATTAAAAGCACACCAACTTTTTTTAAAAGAAAAAAAAACCCAAACCAACAAAAACAACCTGTAAAAGTCTATTATTATTCTTCTTATTATTACAAACGATTTCAATTTGGAGAACACACCTGGACAGATTAGTGTTCTGACAAATCTGCATTTCCCTACCCTAGGCTTCGACCAGAGCCCGCGAGCACGCGCACCGGCGAGGAGGCTGGGACGGGGAGGGAAGGGCACGGCTAGGCTCGCCAGGTATGTAGCCACTAATAACTAGCACCACAGCTACATGGAAATCCGTTACAGACACACACCGGCTTGGCTTTCACTTTTAAACGAAACTCCGAACCCCATGGCTCAGTAGGATTACTCTGCAATTACGTCGCACTGATTTCTAACAGGCCTACAGAAGTTAACGGCACTGGCAAGGATCAAAGCATAGGTTCGGACCTCTCACGAGTTTAGGAGACAGTGCTAGCGCCAGTGGCGACACGGAAAGACTCGCTACCTGCTGTCCAAAACCAGGTTGACTGGAAACCGCTGCACGTCAGGTTAAGTACTTTAGGTACACAGAATAAAAAAAATATATTATGAACAATACAAGTACATCTCATATACACAATAATGACAATACGCCTACTCAGTTGTAAACCAAACAGGTGCAGAAAAAAATATTACGGGAGGAAATTCTTTACTTTTCTTTCTCTCTCTCTCTCTCTTTTTTTTTCCTTTTCCTCTTTTCTTTTTTTTTTTTTTTTTACTATTTGAATAACTTTGGTTCAAACGTAAAAATCACAAGTTAGCAAATTTCATTTAAATGCCTTTTTTAATAATTTTTCTTCATGTTCACAGAAGTTTCACTGACCATTTTTATATGTTTAAGGTCCAGATGCAATGCATATTGTATAAAAGAGAGCACTTATTGTTTACCTTGCATGAATTAAACCTACGTACCTTTTAACTCTACAAACTTCTGCATAACATTTAGACAAAGCTCAGACACACAGCATGCCTAGCCCTCATATATATATACACATCTCTAATCACAGGTATATAGGGTGTCAAATATACTATAGTAACCTCCATGTAAGGTTCGAAATTTGGTAACAAAATGAGAAGAAAAAACTAAAAATATTATTTTACGTGTTCTAAAATATCTCTTTTTTTTTGTGCTAAAGTCAAATGTTAGCTCAACATGAAAAGGACTTTTTTTTTATATAATTCAGCAATATTATAATCTTGACCATTTTTGCAAACACTTTTAATAATAATAGCTTAAACGTGTACAAAAGTTCTCGGTTAATTAGGGAAATAAACACTCAGTTCTTTATATTTTTAATCAAGTAGGAAACACAGTTCATATATAATGTTATTACTTTTTTTTGACTTTTTTTTTTCTGTGTGTTTTGTTTTTTTTTTGTTTTGTTTTGTTTTGTTTTAGCAGCTGCTTACTGTTTGATACGGTGGGTAAAGTGGAGGAACATCCAGCGATGGGTGGCGGGTCGGAGGCGCTGCTGCCGGGCGGCGGGGGGCGCCGGGCGGGC